CTGGCTAATTTGGATCATAGTTGAGGCTTTGCAGGTGAGAGTATGTACGAATAATAAGCAAGCTACCGAAATATATACTTCCTCTTAAGACCTTGATCCAGTACAGACTTGAGATGTAATAAGGTAGTATTCTCCAACTGATAGGAAGATTCTGTGTCTTTGAAGTAGAAATTAATACTTGGATTAGTTAAGGCTCCTTCAGTTTCGAATGTCAGAGAACCCAGCTCAAACTGGCTAGCCAATAAAAGGGAATTTATTAGCTCATGCAGTCAAGTAGGCTATTGCTAGAACTACAGGGACTCAGGCAGCACTCTTGTTTCTCAGCTTTGCCTTCGTGTATTGGCTCTGTTCTCTGTGCTGACGTGATAGTCCATCACAGAGCCAAACTTCCATCCAGTCTCTCAGGTGGTGACAGCAGAAGAGAACCTGGGAGGTCTCCTTAGGATTCATTACCTTTGATTGGATCACATCTCTCTCTCTGAATCAGTCTCTCTGGGCAGGGCATATAACATCATGGATTGAGCCATGTTGCCAAATCTGGGTGAGATTTAATGCCACTTACAGGTAGAGAGGGCAAGAGTGGTGTTACCTTGATGAAAATTAGTTATGCAAAATATATATCTTTATCTTAACCCTGTCTTCTGCAGAAGTACCATATAAATACATATGGACTACTTAAAAAAAAAAACATGGTTCTATACAAGGGTCTTGATATATTTTACCAATATTCAACGGATGATATTTAAATTTGCTTGCAGTTTTTTCAGGATTACACATAATATCACAGTGACTGTCTTTGTCTATATGTCCTTGTGAATTTGGGAAAGTTTTATAGAGACTACATAGAATTTCTGGATCAAAGATCATGCACATTTAAATTTTTATAAATTTGCCAAACTCTCTCAAGATTATAATTTTATCAACAGCATGTAAGACAATTTGTTTCCCCATGTTACTTCCTTCTCATTTTATCTTTGTTGTCTCTCCAGTTCCTGGAAAGTTTTGTGTTTTGTAAAATATATATAATACTCTTTATTTTGCATTAGAATCAGTGCACTTGGGAGTAGCTCAGTCGTAAGACTAATAAGTAGCTGATCTAGACTGGACATCTTTCAGATGACTAAGACTGAAAAAATATTTCTTTCATTTTAGTTTGTTTTTTATTCCATCTTAATACTTGAAACCAATTTAATAGTCTGCTTTTCAGAAAATCAAATTATTTATGTCCAACTTTATTCGATAGAAATTAATGAAATAACTGATTACCCTCTGATGGTGACTCGAACTCTTCAGTATTTGTCAGTAACAGTAATTTATATTATGCTAGGTTAAAAAAAATGTTAAAGATGTATTTAATATGCTTATCGGTAGTACCAATATATAAAGCTGATGTAGAGATTTTAATGTATGTTAGTCTTCAGCTCATATCAGACTGATGCATAGTAAACAGCTATTCAACCATTGAAGTTGTAGTATTTGATAAATCTGCAAAAATTTTGCTGTATAAGCCAATAAAAATTTTACATTAAGAATAACTCATGCAGTAACTTCTATTCATTAAAGCTTGGAATAATTTAAATGGTGATGGAGTGAGTATATATTTAAGGCTGACTCATGATTTATCAAAAACATCTTATTTGAGAATGTCCTTTACTTTTTTTAGTTCTTTACTGATTTTTTTCTTAAGTTGGTCACTTTCATTAATAGTGATATTTGTTTATTCAGTTTTCAAGTTGCTATCAATGAATTCCTGCCAACATTATGTAATGCATGCTTGAAACTTTATTTTCCAAATGCTGTTTTATTTAAGTATATGGAAGATACTTTAATTAGATTTAAAAGTGAGATTTAAAAGTGGTTAAGTATCTTTTTTGATGAACTTGATTCACACAAAATAAAATAGCTTTAGGAGGTACTGGAACTTATTTTTTTCATACAGATGGCTTGTATCCCAATCCCAGCTTCTAGATAATGAAAGAGTGGTCCACAGATTTTATGAAGCCATTTAAAGCAGGAATTTTGTTTGTTTGTTTAGTCTCTCAGTTGTGTCTGATTCTTTGTATGACCCCACAGACTGTAGCCCACCAGGTTCCTCTGTCCATGGGATTTCCCAGGCAAGAATACTGGAGTGGGTTGTCATTTTCTTCTCCAGGGGATCTTCTCAACCCAAGGATCTAATTGGCGTCTCCTGCATTGTCAGGCAGATTCTTTACCATTGAGCCACCTGGGAACCCTTAAAATAGGAATAGATATGTTACAAATTTACTTCCTCTGATTTAGGTGTTTCTCTTTTAATAAACTGCTCTAAAAATACCAATTTAAATCAGGGTATGAGAAATAATAGGCATGGGAAACCAATTTGGGATTATGAAAGTAACACTGATTCTTAACTGAACAGGAGTTAATAATCAGCAGTGTTACAGATTTGTCCACTGAAATTTATCTCTCCTCTCCTTGTTGTTGCATTGCGTTGTGTTCCTTCTGTCATGGCCCTCATCAGCGTCTACAGTGCAATGCATATAGCAATTCTGTTTCTCCTTTTTCCACAAAAGTGAGAGTCTGGAGAGCTAATTCTTTCTGTTATTCATCTTTCTATTCTGTTCAGGGCCCACCACATAGTAGGTATAAATGTTAAATTCAGCTGATCTTTGCAAAATAATATAGTGCGATAACTTGACAAGTCACTGACAATCCTTGGCTACTGCTTTTATATTTTCATTTTACTTCAGTGAATCAATTTTTACGTAAAAAGATCCCATAGATGTGTTAATTTTGTTTACAGAGAAATGTTTTATATACTCTGAGGGTAATTACTGATAGTTTACCATCTGTTTCTATTTATCAGTATTTTCCATCTCCCTGTTCATTTGTTTGGCTGAGTCTTTTATATGTGAGATTCTTTCTCCATTTAGCTTTTGATGTCTTTGAAATTTTAGTTTTTGATATTTAGGAAATGTACAGAATATTTTACGATGTTCTGCAAGTTATGTTTATGGTATAACTTGAATTTCAGTCCCATTCTTTAAAGGGAAATATGTGTTGTTGGTTAATTGGTAAGATGATACGTCTCTCTTAGATATGTTTGTAAAAACTCTTATTTTTGTTTTGCACTTTTTAAGAACGTTAGACTTTTCTAGGAACACAGTGCTTTTTTAGTGTTTATTTTCATTCTAACAGGAGTGGAGGAGGAGGACTAATGTTTGTTGAATGCTTACTATGCTCCAGTACTGTGATGAGCACGATATATCACTATTGTCATTAATTGCTTAATAACTCTGTCGAAGGTGATACTATTATAATTTACAGATGAAGAAGCTGAAGCAGAAAAAGAATATTTTCTTCCCCACAACTTGGTCTCTGTTTTATTTCTGATGTAACGTAGGACCCAGAAAACTATCTTATGTATATCATGGATTAGCAGAAAATTCACTGGGATCTTTACCATGCCAATACGATCAGTTCGCTATCCTTTCACCCCACCTGTCATTGAACACCTACAAATTTGGAGGTAGATATTACTGAATATAAACACTCTTTTAAGTGTATAGCTAAATTTGCAGAATGGGAAGGTGATCTCATCAGTGCAATAAAATGAAGAAGTAGCTCTAAAAAATATAGCTGTCTCTTCATTTCTGTGAGAGGCTGGATCCCCTGAGATACCAAAATCCACAGAGGCTGAAGTCACGTATGTGAAATGGTGCAGTAGAGGAATACAGTCGGCCTTCTGCATCCACGGATTTCACTTTCACAGATCCAAGAGTGGTCCGTATATTAGAAACCCTTGGATCCGGAGGGCCAACTATAGTTTATTTCTTCTGAAACTGCTGGTATCCATGCTCTTTGCTTATTTTTATGGCCTTGTGATTGGTTTTAAGAGCTTTGAGGGGACAGAAACAAGACTTTGGTTTGTTCAGGGTGAGAAATTAGAATCTTCAACATCTTAGCACTCACTCTTAAATCACCCAGGATTTAAAATTAAAAGTTTGATTTGAAACTATTAGGTAAAGGATTTTTTTAGTAAAAAAGAAAAAGAATAAAGGTGGCAAAGTGATGCTAAGACTGACATTTCTAGGAGAGTTAGATATTAGAGAAGTCACAACAGAAATAGTAGACCATGGATTCAAAAAAATTTCAAGGAATGATTGACCAGCAACTTCAAATCCTAGGGTGATATCACAGAAAAAGCACGAGAAGGCAAGTGATAAAAAGCCCCAGTTAAGAGTCAGTTGGGCTTTTTTGCCTTATTTGATATCTTAGGATTTTTCCAAGTTGAAGTCAATTTTGTAACACCTTCTCTATTTTTACAGTCACACATATCTAGATTATTAGTTACTTCATATTTTAGAGTAAACTTATGGTGTTATGCTTTTGATTTATTTTCAAGAGGAACCTCTGTATCACAATAAAATATGGAAACCCTTGAAAGTGAAAGTCACTCAGTCATGCCCAACTCTTTGCAGCCCCATGGACTGTAGCCTGCCTGGTTCTTCTGTCCATAGGATTTTCCAGGCAAGGATACTGGAGTGGGTTGCCACTTACTTTTCCAGAGGATCTTCCTGCCCCAGGGATTGAACCCAGGTCTCCTGCACTGCAGGCAGATTCCTTCCTGACTGAGCTACCAGGGAAGCCCTATGGAAACTCTTAAAATCTGCTGTAAATAGAAACTGTCTATAAAAACTCATAAAATTAAGGAGGAAAGTTATAAGCTATGTCCTAAGGGTTGCTGAGGACATCATATACAGTCTTCCTCTTTATTTAATAGGAGGAATTGGAAAAGATGGAAAAAGTAAATGCACTCTGTCTGAAGCGATTCTGTCTTATTTGTGTGTGTGATGGGTAGGATGGTTTTTAGTTCCAGCAACATTGTTGGCTGAATGTGAAATGATCCCAGGAGGGAAGCGTGACTGTGTGTGTGTCTTGAGTGTTTTAACATTCATCATGTGAAAGATGCTGCTCTGAGCTTCCTATATTGAAAGATTTTTTGTTTTTTCTTTTTGAAGCTCTTTTAAGAGCCTGTGCTGATGGAGGTGCCAACCGTTTATATGATGTCACAGAAGGAGAGAGGGAGAGGTAAGCTTTCTTTCAGTCCTGTCTGTTACATCACTTCTGCTTCTGAGCTTGTTTTATTTTCTTCTTAGTAAATGGTGATTGTTCATTTTCCTTCAGATTCTTACAGAGAACCACCTCAGAGAGAGCGCAAGCTGCTTAACCATGTTGTATTAGTCTTTGCTTTGAGTGGTATCTATTAATAGCAATAGGCCAATCATACTCTCCTTAAAAAAATTCTAATTCAAAAGTCTTTTAAAATAACATTATAAAATATCAGTACATGTGAGGACTTTGGATATTGACTAAAATAATGGTTATTTGAGTTTTTATTCAAATAGTTTAAAGAATACAAATTGATCTTATATAAAATATGTATCCTGTTGTAGCAGGTGCAAGATTTTTATAATAGTATTGAATAAAACTCAGTATAATTTAACTTAGTTCTGAGCTGTGCTCACATGACTTTTCAGAGAGAAATAATTTTATTTCTTAATGATTTATTACCTGTACACTCTGGTTTTCCTGATCTTGGCATGGTGAGCTATTTATAGACATGGTGAGCTATTTTTAGATGTGAAAATATGTTTTATGAAAGCACAATTTAAATTTAGCTCACTGCCAACATGCATCTAGTTCATCCTCTTCGCAAAGACAATTTATAGTCTGGATATAAGTAGACTAGCTATGAAATTTAGTTCCACTTCTATCATATGTTACCAAATGTACTAAAATATTTACAGTTTGAGAAATCACCTCCTTGCTGTAAAAAATTAAAGTATTATGATGCAGCATATCATAGGTATGAATTAAATACACATATTTTGAAATGATGTAAAATACGTCTTTATGACATCAAAATTTTTACTTCACATTTCTAATGGAGATGCTTTTTGAAAGCACATGGTTGCTTATAGAAGGAAGGCATGTTTTCTTTGAGATTGGACATGTGTAGATGTATAATAAAAAAATACAGCCACAGTGACAGCCTAGGAAGCAATTTAAATTCTTAACATGTTGTGCTTATTTATTTATTTTTTTTGATAAGAACTTTTAAGATTTATTTTTAACAGTTTTCAAACATGTAATGCTGCATTGTTAACTGTTGTCACAATGCTGTACATTAGCACACCCCCAGGACTTATCTCATAACTAGAAGTTTGTACTTTTTAAAAAAACTATTCTTTATCGAAGGATAATTGCTTTACAGCATTTTGCTGTTTTCTGTCAAACCTCAACATGAATCAGCCATAGGTATATGTATGTCCCCTCCCTCTTGACCCTCTCTCCCGTCTCCCTCCCCATCCCACCCCCCTAGGTTGATACAGAGCCTTTGTTTGAGTTTCCTGAGCCACACAGCAAAATTCCCGTTGGCTATCTGTTTTACATATGGAAGACGGTGGTATGGAGATTCCTTAAAAAACTAAGAATAAAACCACCATATGACCCAGAAATCCCACTCCTAGGCATGTACCCTGAGGAAACCAAAATTGAAAGAGCCACATGTATCCTCTTGTTCATTGCAGCACTATTTACAATAGCTAGAACATGGAAGCAACCTAGATGTTCATCTATAGATGAATGGATAAAGAAGTCGTGATATATATACACAATGGACTATTACTCAGTCATAAAAAGGAATGCATTTGAGTCAGTTCTAGTAGGTGGATGAACCTAGAACCTATTATACAGAGTGAAGTGAGTCAGAAAGAGAAAGAGAAATACCGTATTCTAACTCATATATATGGAATCTAGAAAAATGGCACTGAAGAATTTATTTACAGGGCAACAATGGAGAAACAGACATAGAGTAGACTTGTGCTTCTTTATTTTTAAACTTTATGGATTCCTTTGACTGTATTTCCTACAGCCTGACATGGGCAGGATGTGAAAAAGTACTCAAGTATGTGTTATAAGAAGTGTCTAGCCAGTTATTGCAGTGAGGAGCATAATGGCCATGAGGACAAGATTTGAGTAGGCACTTTTTGTTTCTTACCTGTAGCCTCCTTGCTGACCAGCAATCTGGTACTGAGTGCCATTTCTCTAATGATGGGTGTAGCTTATGAATATAATTGTATGAAGCAGAGCTGTGAAACGAATTGGCACAGTACTTTTTAAGTCTTCCTTGATCATAAGAACCATCTAGAATATTTTGAAAAAACATAGATTTCTGTACTGATTACTTTAATTGGATTGAGCTGGACACTAGTAAGACAGATAACATCCAACATATTTACTCTCGTTTGAAAGTAACACACACCACCAATGTGGGAATGAGTGCCATTATTTTTGCCCAAATTTCAAAATAATCATTTCCAGTACTTCTGAACACATTTATAAGTAACCTTAAGGAACTCTTCCAAGAAGATTTATATGATTTACCTAACAACTATGTGTCCGTATGTGAAGATGTTTAAGAAGAAAATGTACTTGGTATTGATTTCCAAGTTATAATAACGTGTTTGCCTTGGTGCACAGTCTGAAGCTTAGGGGCATGGTTGACAGGGGTGAGGGTGAAGTCCTTCAAGGGAGATGAGTGAGGCTAACTGCCTCATGTGGGAATTAAAGCCTTGGAATAAATCTCATTAAATCCAAACCCTAACCTGTTAAACTAATTGGACTTAGGTGACTAAACATGGTTCTTATTATCTGTATTTTTAACAGAAAGGCTTTACAATGGAAAGAGAAGAAATTTTCATGAGTTTTGGAAAGCCCAGTTAGGGATGTGGACCACTTCTTCGCTTCTTCTTGATTTTTATTTATTCAGTGTCCTAATCTACAATGTAATACCTTATAATTATGCAATAAAGCATGAATATGTAGGGAATCATCTTTAATTGGAGAGAAAGTGGGATCTTTACACATTAGGAATGGAAAGAAGGAAGACTGATGTAGACAGTAGCAGAGGAGCAGGGTTTGCAGAAGGGTGGCGCTGAGGGAAATTCAGTGGTAACCTCACGTCTGATCCTGTACTGAATGCATTCAGCCTTCTGCATCTTTCCCAAAGATTGGTCTTTGTGTCAACTTTGAAGGTCACTTCTCTCCATTTACAAGGTGTTTTTCTTTTAAATAAGCCCTAAATGTTTTTGTTTATTGTTGAAAGCAATGCGTGATGATTTGAGTGTGTGTTAGTGAGTTGGGAGAAACAGAAGAAAATAAAAATTACCTGTTAAGTCTTCCTACATAGCAAAGAGTTACATTGAGTTCTGCCATTGGACTTCAGAAAATATGACTTAATTTTTCTTGTTCAGGTGAATGTAACCTCAATGAATGTAAATTCCCTTGTGCCTAGAAAATTTCCTGAGAGTATTAGATACCCGAAAAATATTTGTTAATGAATGTTTAGTTACAGTTGTTCTATTCTCTGTTCCCTAAGGTTCTGAGTAACTTTGACTGATGGCCTGTGTATTTTGGGTAACGACATTGCCTCTACTCTGAGAGCTGATAGGTTCTGATTTGGGGGTGTGTTCAGTCTGTATATCAGACCGAGGAGGATGGAGATCCAGTCAGGGAGATACAGAATGGGCACTGCCAGTGATAGCTGGGTCTGAGCAGTGGTTGTAGACTTGAGATGAAAGAGGAAGGAGTTTTATGAAGACTCAGTCTTTGTACAGTGAGACTCCTATACTCTTAACTGACTGTTTCCCTCAGCCTGTTTTTGGAAATGTGGAGTAGTAAGTTTGGGTAAGACGTGTGGACTGATACCTCTGGTTCTAGAGCGGCAGCCTGATACTGACTGCAGCCTCGCGTTTATGTACTGGTGGAGGTCTGCGGGAAGGAGAGTCCTTTGGCAGCCTCACAGCGTGTGCCTCCTGTCTTCTCTAAAGTAGGTAGAATCCTGGTCAGAATCCACATGGTGAAGCCTGGCCCCATGGTCAGAATAGTCACAGGACACAGGGGTGAGGGGGGAAAATACAAGAGAAGCAGGGTAGGATTCGCTAGGAAGATTTTGTGAAGCAGGTTTTTTCTTGCTTATCATTGAAAGGCATTGGAGGTTTGTTTCATTTTTGTATTGGTGATTAGATCAGAAAAGTGTACTAGATCAGAAAAGTGTGAATTGTCCACATTGAAGAATATTGCACAGTTATTGTTCACTTGTACTAGTAAATGATAGTGATGATGGGAGGGTTATGCTCATGTATTTTGTCCACATTGAAGACTCTTGCACGGTTATTGTTCACTTGTACTAGTAAATGATACTGACGATGGGAGGGTTATGCTCTCCCCGTACCCCCAGCGCTCTCCCCTCACACCCCAGTTACTCCTTTTTTACATCTTTAACAGATACTCTCAGAGAACAGTTGCTGCTCCAATCAGTATCTAACCAGGGTCTGAAAAGTAGTCAACTATGACTGTAATTGCCAGCATTGCCCACCCTGTGTGTGTGCATGGGTGCTAGGTTGCTTCAGTCATGTCTGACCCTTTGCGACCCCCGTAGACTGTAGCCCGCCAGGCTCCTCTGTCCATGGGATTCTCCAGGCAAGAACACTGGAGTGGGTTGCCATCTCCTTCTCCAGGGGATCTTCCCCACCCAGGGATGGAACCCACATCTCTTACGTTCCCTGCCTTTACCGCTAGTGCCACCTGGGAAGCACATAATAAATATTAAAAACAAGCATACAGACACACAGAGAAATGCACAAGTATAATGATAAGACTCAGTGAATTTCCACAAAGGAGGGTGCAGTAATGTAAACAGCACTGAGACCAGCCAGAGTAGTGTCCCAGCACTGGGCTGCCTTCCTCGTGTTCCCCACTATTGCCAACCTGCCCTCAAAGGAAACCACTGCCTGACCTAGTGAATGTTAGATTTATTTTTTTCTACTTTTGGGTTTCATAAAATAAAGTCATAATACATTGAATTTTTAGTAGATGGACATTTTTTGGGATAAAGACTCCTCAGCTCTCTGAATCTGAAAAAAAAAATGGAAGAAACATTACTGGAGGTGCTTATAGGAGAATTACAGTCACACTAATTACTTTAGGAGATGAAGAGTTATGGAATCAAATAGAAGAGAAAATAA